TACGATCCACCTAATTTATATAGTGGAGTACCGACCATATAAATATGGGTTGGTACCGGAAAGACGGGTGAGGAAGAAGAGATCCAATCCAGAGACTCTGCCCGACTGCGACTAAGTTAACCCATTCTACAGGAACGGTCTTCCCAAGAATATACCAAACTATCTGTAAATATTGTGTACACGTTCTTGTGTCAATACATTTTGTTTAAGTACATTTTGTGTTGTATTATTATTATTCCATGCTTTAGTCAAGTTTCAACACTAACGAAACCTGTAATTTACTGCTGATTCCAGCTGTTCCTCTGCTGTTTATTTCATACTCTGTAGGTTTGTATGAATTTTTGTTATATAGGAATAAAATGTCGCTGCCGAGACTGGGGGTTGAACACAGATCACCAGAGAGCAAACACAGGCGATCCCATTTTTGAATAAGTAGATCACGTGATGGTAAACGCATGTATATATGGGAATTAGGGTGGCGTCTAAGGGATCACTATCCGAATTACTTCGGAGGTGTGCTTGTCGAACTCTCTGCATCTGCGTAGAGAGAACCCAGACGAGGCTATGCCATCTTAAAGTCTCGTCTGAGGTTAGTAGTTCAACAACCCAGTTTTTACGGGGTCTACGGGGAATTTTTGCCCGAGCCCACGGGCTCAGATACCCCACAATAAACTTGGCCTTGTGCCACATCCGACAGCGTGGGCGCGGTTAGTGAATATCATCACTATCCGGATTACTTCGGAAAGGTGCTTGTCAAACTCTCTGTCTTCGGGCAGAGAGGAACCCAGACGAGGCTGTGCCGAAGGGAAGAGTCTCGTCTACGGGGAATCTTTGCCCGAGCCTAAGGGCTCGGATATAAACACAATAAACTTGGCTTTCTATCGCATTCTGCCGCGTGAGACGGTTAGTAAATATCTCTCTATACCAATTACGGTTCGGATCACTATTCGGCGTTTACTATTCGAGCAAGTATTATCGAGTAAGTATTATTAGTGCGAGTGTTATTCGAAGGCGCCTGATACCAGAATCGTTGAAAGCGCGACTGCTTTTGTATCTGCGATTTACAAAGTCTCTATTATAACGACCATTACGAAAGTGACAACGAGTATTCGTTGACATTACAAAAGTAGCGACAGTTGTTCGTTCGACATCACAAAAATTAAAAAACAAAAAATAAAAACGTTCGAAGTCTTGCAATAACTTCAGCATAAATTAGATAGTATTCACTAATTTTCTATACCGAAAATAGGACATTATTGATTGGCATTCCAAAAGATTTAGAATGTTTGCTGAAATATATGACATAAGATTTTGGTTAGCCCTGCGCAGTCGATTTGCAAATTTTGTTAATCCTGTGCAGTCTATTTGCAAATTTGGTTAACCCTGCGCAGTCTATTTGCAAATTTTGTTAATCCTGTGTAGTCTATTTGCAAATTTGGTTAATCCTGCGCAGTCTATTTGAAAATTTATTTAATCCTGTGTAGTCTATTTGCAAATCTGGTTAAACCTGCGCAGTCTATTTGCAAATTTAGTTTATCCTGCGCAGTCTATTTGCAAACTTACTTAATCCTGCGCAGTCTATTTGCAAATTTGGTTAATCCTGCGCAGTCTATTTGCAAATTTAGTTAATCCTGTGTAGTCTATTTGCACATTTGGTTAATCCGGCGCAGTCTATTTGCAGATTTAGTTAATCCTGCGCAGTCTGTTTGCAAATGTGGTTAAACCTGCGCAGTCTATTTGCAAATTTAGTTTTTCCTGCGTAGTCTATTTGCAAATTTGGTTAAACCTGCGCAGTCTATTTGCAAATTTGGTTAATCCTGCGCAGTCTATCTGCAAATTTGGTTAAACCTGCACAGTCTATTTGCAAATTTTCTTAATCCTGTGCAGTCTATTTGCAAATTTGTTTAATCCTGCGCAGTCTATTTGCAAATTTGGTTAACCCTGCGCAGTCTATTTGCAAATTTGTTTAAACCTGCGCAGTCTATTTAGTAGTCCATGCGACAACATTTTAGCTCAGTATGACATTTATTTTGTTCTTCCAGATGGTCGTATATTCTGTCAGTTAATTTATTATTATTATTATTATTATTATTATTATTATTTCCTTTAATTACTGGTGTGTATCCATTTCTTTCCGGGTCCCAACCAGATACCTGAGATCAGAAATGGCATCATGACATTATTTTCCACTGATCATTTTTGTAAAAAAACAAAAACAAAACCAGCTATGATCACACGCATTTTACAGAGTTAAAGCTCTTCACAATGTATGAGTTGTACTTGTTTATACAATTCTTTGCATTTCTTTAAAGCATGGACTACCAGGAATCCCTTCAATGAGTCTATCGGAACCTTTTCGAATCAATCTGAGGGCTCCAACTACAACTGGAATTATAGATGACCTCACGTGCCACGTTGTTTTAGATTTCCACTTCAAGATCCTTATATTGTGATAGTTTTTTTTTTTTTTTTTTTTTGAAGATCTTCAAAGATATATCACAATCTGCAGGGACTGCCATATCAGTAAAGAGGCACATTTTGTCAGGGCGATTAGCTTTGATTGTTCTGTGTGTCCCATAAAATTGGTTTTCTTCTTCTTCTTCTTCTTCTTCTTCTTCTTCTTCTTCTTCTTCTTCTTCTTCTTATTTATTATTATTATTATTATTACATCTCTATTGTTGCTGCTTTTTATTCCAATATTATATGTCAATGTAATCCATTATCCTGTTATAATTGTGATTGTTCCTCTGTTATGTCCTGACAAAATCTCATAAATAACGAAATATTCCGTTTAGATCGCGTGGAAAAAGGAGAAAAGACACTACTTGGTTTTAGTAATAAAATGAAACAAAGAAGGGGAGATAGAAATGTTTAACATCACCTGTAAATATCTTATAAATAATGGACTATTCCGTTTTGATTTCGTGAGAAAGCAAAACACATATCAGAGACGCTACTTGGTTTCAGTGAGAAAATGAAAGAAAGAAAGAAAGAAAGAAAAAAGAAAGAAAGAAAGAAAAAAGAAAGAAAGAAAGAAAGAAAGATAGTGTTTGACGAGTGTTTCAGAGAAATGCAAAAAGTTATCAATTTTAATTTTTTTTTCATTTGTACCCCCTTACTTCTTAAAATAACGACCAACATTCATATATATGATTGTCATTGCAACATTTTGTTAAAGTTGTTAAACTCAAATATTTAATTATTAGATACAGGAATTTCTACGGATATTTATTGTAAAACTCGCCATGAGCTTACTCAACTGAAAAATTAAGATTCATAAGAATATCAAAATAGGAAAAGCATGAAATTATTTTAAAAGTAATTATTAATATTTTCCATCTTATTTTTTCACATTACTCACCCATTTTATTTTATTACTAGTTTAATAGTACTCTATATAATTGACTATAATGCGTTATATTACTTTATTCGTTTAATAGTAAGTACTCTAGTCACTAGATTTCACACTTACAGATTTTCATTTGTTTCGATAACTTAAACATTTCAAAAGTGGCAGAATATTCAAAAGCAAGTTGGAATATTTTAAAAACTTTTTTCGTGCTATTTATAGCACTTTCGACTTTCGCAGTCATATCGAGAACCGATGTGGTCTCTGCGGGGTAGTTAGAATTATTTTGTCCGCAACTTGGTATTCTTTGGCAAGATGGAAGTTTGAAATGGTTTAACGTGACGTCACGTGTAATGGCGACTGGGAACGAAGCCACACAAAAAGAGTGAAATTTATTTATTTTATCTATTTATTTGTTGATGCTAATATATATAATAATATAATATATGCGCACATTAGTTATAGAATATGCGTTTGAAGATAATGAGCCAAGGAAATCCATCCGGAAATACTACCGGAAGTACAAAATGCAGTTGAAATTCAAATCAAAATGGAGATTGCTGCTTGTGATTACAAACGCGTTGTCATCAATGTCTGGATCATAACGGACATGAATTGGAAAACGTGATGAAAAAACTTATATTTATACATTTTTAATAAATGCAGTCTTTATATGAATTATTTAAATTAGATATATTTGGATCAAGTTGCTTGAATTATTGCCTGAGAAAGCTTCAAAATGTGTATACATTTTTTGAGATACACTATATATATATATATATATATATATATATATATATATATATATATATATATTTTATGTTTATACATTCTTTTTTATAGATACAAAAATAATTTAAGTAAATGCTCTTTTATAATAAACAAAAAAAAATTTTTAACATTTACCAGCCTGAATGTCCGAGAAATTTTCATAGAAATATTCGTCCTCCGACAGGAATTGAACCTTATCATATACGAACCGTCATATAGCCTGGCGTGCCTTAACCGATATATGATGGTTCCGTATAGGATACAGGTTCGATTCCTGTCGGAGGATGAATAAAAAGAAAATTAAAAAGACATTCAGGCCGGTAAATGTTAATGCTATTAATAAACGAATTATAAAACAGAGCATTTAAAAAAATATTTGTATCTATAAAAAGAATGTATAAACATAAAATGTCTTAATATAATTGTCGGACTTTTGTCCATTTCATAATATATATATATATATTTATATATGAGAGAGAGAGAAAGAACAAATAGAGTAAAAATCTACATTTCGTAGCATTTATTTTTTAAAAAAGTGCTCATTACAAAGTAGAGCAAAATAATAATAAATATTAGGAATTGTATAAGTAAGACACAGTTATCTCCCCTGAAATCTTACAATCTAAAAAAAATGTTTTCTGGCCTTTAAAAAACTGCAAAAGGTTGATAAGCCATAAAAAAAATTATGGTAAAACGCAATTACTTCTCAAACTAATATTTAAAAAAGGAAGTTGAAAGCCACACTGTTTTCATCTCAAAACTGACGTTTTCTCAGATTTTGGGAAGTGGGTCGGGCCGATAACTTTTTTAAACCCACTTCTATCATTACACTTTCTTTAATATTCATTCTACTTCTTTACACGCTTTCTCATTATAATAGCAGAATGTATCAGGAACGCCTAAATTCAATTTAACCGGACCATCAAAAATTCCCATTGCTTCATCAGCCAAATTCCGGCTAGATCTGAACCTGCCAATTCTTACGAAAAAAGTGAAAGTTGACGTATTTCCGCCGCTGAACACTTCCGGCGTTATGTCGGTATGCAACCTAAAAGTTCGCGACACAGGCCGCAATTTTGCATGCTTACCTGTCGATTACATTGAAGGAAAGCTGATTAATTCTCGGGTATATAACGGAAATTCAAAGGCGCACATTAATATGGGAGATGTCGTTAATTCTGGTAAGTATTCCTTTAATTATTTGGAAAATGAGCTATTATTAAATAATCTGCTTTTCGCTGTTGATTATTATATTCACAATGTTTCGGCCGATGTATTCTCCAGCCGTCTTCAGTTGATAACCTATTCAGAATTTTGAATTGACTTCTTTATTAAACCCAGGAGCCTAAAGCAGGGTTCGGCCACCAACGGCACGCGTGCCACTCGCGGCACGTCAAGCAATTTTTAATGGCACGCAGCCGCAAATGACATCACGAAGTCAGAACCAATAACTACTAAAACGCAAAGAAGATATTTATCTGTTACAATTTTAATATATACCTAACTATATATACTATATTATTAGGTTTGTGCAAAATAATGACGTAATAATGTCGTTTTTGACGTTAAAACATACGTCAAAAACGACATTATTACGTCATTATTTTTGCACCAACCTAATGCTATATAAAATATATTGTAGAACAGGTATATTGACCTTAACTTGTATAAAAATACGTATGCTGGTGGCACACTGAATGATTTTAAAACCCTAAGTCGGCACATAGTTAGCAAAAGTTTGCCGACCCCTGGAAAGGGATGTTTAGTTAGCGGAGAATTTTTTATTTCAATTTCTGGTATGGTCGTGGTAAAAATTCACATACTCTAGATTAAGGTGTTTCAAACTGTGGGTCCCGACCCATTAGTGGGTCACGAGATAAATAAAATGGGTCGTGACAAAAAAGAAAAAAATATAATAATACGCAAGTAAGATCAAAGTGCAAGATATATAAGCAAATCTAAATGTTGCACAGTATTTATAAATCATCGCAAGTTTTTCACTGAGATAATCCCGTATTACATTTTTTATTTTTTTAAATTTCGTATATATATATATATATATATATATATATATATATATATATATATATATATGAGGTGATTTGGGATTTTATTGTTTTATTAATTATATATATATATATATATATATATATATATATATATATATATATATATATAGTCCCCTAAGAACGATGAAAGAGGCGTGGTGGTCCAAACAGGCGACTTCCCTCCAGGAAGCGTTTGATGGAAAGGATTCAAAGGCATTTTATGATAGCATGAAGAAAGTGTTTGGTCCCCAAGAAAATGGTATTTCTCCCGTTTTCTTCACTGAAGGTGACCTTTTGACGGACAAGAACGATATCCTGAAAAGATGGAAAGAACACTTTGATTCCGTCTTGAACAATGCCTCATCCACCAATGAAGATGTGATTGCTTCAATATGTCAGCGACCTGAAATCCCGGAACTCTCGTTTGAACCGACATTGCAGGAAGTTTTAAAGGCTATTAAGCAAATTTTGGTTGGAAAAGCACCGGGCAAAGATGCTATCCCACCAGAAATTCTCAAATACGGAGGGTCAACACTCGCTAAGAAACTTTTACAATTGTTTATTGAGATTTGGAGACAAGGAATGGTCCCACAAGACCTCAAGAACGCATCCATTCACCATCTGTTCAAAAATAAAGGGAACAGAAAAATATGCGACAACCGCCGGGAAATTTCTCTTTTGTCTATAGCTGGAAAGATTTTGGCCAGACTGATTTTGAACCGAATAATAACTCATGTAATTGATGACATCTACCCTGAATCACAGTGTGGCTTTCGTGCAGGTCGCGGCACCATTGATATGATTTTCTCCTTACGACAGGTTGCTGAGAAAATTCGTGAAAAGAATCAAGAGTTGTATATGGTGTTCGTTGACCTCACGAAGGCGTTTGACACAGTGAACCGTGCTGCCCTGTGGAAGGTTTTGAGGAAATTGGGAATACCGGAAAATATGTTAAAGGTCATTATCTCTTTTCATGATGGGATGAAGGCTGAGGTGGTGTCAAATGTTGAAACATCAGATTACTTTTCTGTGACGAATGGCACAAAGCAAAGTTGTGTTATGGCCCCTGTTCTTTTTGCCCTCTACTTTTCTGTCATGCTGAAACATGCATTTGCAGGAGTGGAAGACGGCGTTAAACTTCAGTTTAGAACAAGTGGGAGCTTTTTCAATCATCAGAGATTCAAAGCCAAAACTCTGACAAGGATCAGCATAATCCGTGATCTTCTGTTTGCAGATGATGCTGCGCTGGTAGCAACTTCTTTTGAAGAAGCTCAACGCCTGGTGGACAAGCTCTCTGCTGCTTGCAAACCATTCGGTCTTACCATCAGCAACTCAAAAACAGAAGTTGTTCACCAGCCTGCACATACACCCAAGCAAGTGCGAGGCGTGAAACAAAACCCTCCTGCTCACAGGTTCCCTGATATACCGATTCGTGTTGATGAAAATGACCTCAAGTATGTGAAGAATTTTAACTACCTAGGCAGTAAAGTGAATGCAAGTTGAACTCTGGATGACGAAATTGTAAATAGAATTGCAAAAGCGGCTAACGCGTTTGGAAAACTACGTCACCGTCTTTGGAATGACAGGGGTATTCGTCTTGCGACAAAAATCCACGTGTACAAAGCAGTTGTCCTCACTACTCATTTGTATGGATCAGAGGCCTGGACCCTGTATCGTAAGCAGATTCAGCAATTAGATGTCTTTCACAAAGGATGTCTCCGAGCAATCTGTGGACTAACCCCGCAGGACAAAAAATCCAATGCCGACATTCTAACGATGTATAACATTGACGGAATTGAGAGCTTCCTCATGAGGGCATAGTTACGATGGGCTGGTCATGTTGTACGGATGCAAGATGGTAGAATTCTAAAGATTCTCATGTACAGCCAGCTTGAAGGCGGTCAATGGAATGTTGGCCGACCCTTGCTCAGGTTTAAAGATAAGCTGAAAAGTAACCTTGCAGCTGCAAATATTGCACACACTGATTTGGAGAATACTGCCTTGGATCGCAAAGCTTGGAAAAGTGTAACTTACACTGGAATCAAGAATTTTTCGGCGACAAGCGTTGTCAAGCCCCGTGAAGCAAGAGAAAGGGAAAAAGCCTCAGAGGGTGCCAGAGAAGTGCACCCTCTTTGCTCACACGCTTGCCCAATCTGTGGTCTTAGTTGCAAGTCATTAGCAGGTCTGAAATGTCACTCTAGATTCAAACATAAAGGTCATTAAAAAGTTGTCAGAACCTCATACGTCGAAATCGACGGGAGAGTCCATATATATATATATATATATATATATATATATATATATATATATATATATATAAATCAAATCACCTCATATAGTGTTTTTGGATTTATTGTTTATTAATTATATTGCTCTGTAATAATAAATACACTGAGCTCTTTTTTAGGATCAGTTTTAATATTTTATATTACTAGGATTCACTTGGATACCAACGGATTTTATTACCTTTATATATATATATATATATATATATATATATATATATATATATATTAAATAAAAACAGACCACTTTAAGGTTCCATGTAATAAATTATTTCACCACAGCCCTTTAAAGGACTGCGGATCATCAGACTTTACTTCCAAAGGTTGAAAAGAAAAATGAAAAGAAATTTACACATTTTTGACGGCCCGTATTAAGCATATGTAAATTAACGAAGTAAGGAAGAGAGTGGGGAGAGAGAAGACATGATTGAGTTAGATGTAATTTAATATTTCTATTCTTTCAGACTTAAAATGACTTTCATACTTAAAATTACGTTTAAATGTGTCAATGTCTGAACCTCCTCAAGTACTCGAATAGTTATCCTCGTCTTCTTTGATATATTCACAAAATTTCGGCCGTTGTACGCTCCAGCCTTCTGCAGGTGACTGGAATTTCAAACTGAACACTTTATTTCGTCCACCGGAATAGATTGTTCTAGCTCCACGTGCCATGCCTCTTCCGAATCTCTCATTTATTTCTCTTTAACTCAATTTTCCATGTTTTTGGTTCACCACTGCTGTGGCCTGGTATTGAACTCACAACTCTTTTGGGTTTAGTCACTGGTTCTAACCAACGTTTTTATCTATTGTGTATGATTTGGGGGGGGGGGCGGAGGCTTTTAAAACTAATGTCTCAGCAACCATTTTTTACCAGTTGGTTAGACCCAGTGATTAGACCTAAAGATTCGGCTTGAAACCCCAAGAAGGCTATCGAAAGCTGTATAGTACAACTGCTGAAACGTTGAGGTTATAATAATTCAAATGAACATGCCGTTCGAAAAGCAAAACGTAAAATAATGATAATTTCTTATTTAAAACGTTTCGACAAATATGCGTTGTCAGAATTTTCTAGCAGGAGAGGTCATTCTTTTCTAGAAAATCAGCACTCAGACTACAGGAATTTAATGTATCTATTACACGCGGTATTATTTAAGTTTCAGCTTTTAATATAGCTTGTCCAGGGATGGCTTCAGTAACATGAAGATGAATTTACTGTGTTACTCAGGCAAACAAATCTCCAGATCTGAGCCACATTGAACCATTATGTGAAATGTTGAACAAACAGCTTCACACTACAGATCTTCCACCGCGTAACTAACTATTAACATCCCTTCACCTGGTCCCAGAGGAACCTTTAAAAAGTTTTGTAGGTTCTATAGCAGATCTAGGAAGAGCTGTTTATTTAGCAGGGGATGTATGTGTGCGTGGATTAAGATGAAAGGGAATACAGCTTCAAATTTGATATAACCTAAATTAAACGAATATCCAGTTTCATAATAATTTGTTTATTCATTGTCCTGTCATCAGGCTTAAACCGTTTTTTCCCCTGTTTCGTTTCAATAAATAAAAATCAAGTTTCTCTCTTTCACATTTGAAAATACTTTATTTCTCCGGTTTCTCATTCAAGGAATTATGTCCAGCGTTTATGATTCAAACGAAGACTGGATTTCCCTGCAATTCGCCATGAACGTCTTCGACGACGCTTCTCTCGTGGGTAAACAGTTTTGGATCGGTGCTTCGGTCACGATGGACACGGATTTCATCTGGACTGGTCAGTACTTGGTTGAAATCGATGCCAAAGTGGACATTTCTACGGTAAGTTTTTTGTTGTTGTTGTTGTTGTTGTTGTTGTTTTTGACCTGCCTTTACATACATGTACCTAATTTTTTAAGCTGTTTGTCCACTCAAAATATCAGCTTTTGACAAGTCCAGGTAAATCGCCCCCCCCCAAACGAAAAAAAAAACTTTATTAAACTAAATATGATTTTGCGATTATTGTAAAGGAAACAGACGTCTTCGTAAGTTATGATACGCTAGGCGCTCATCTATTACGACCTTGCACCAGACTAAGACAGGTTTATAAATAAATAGATATAAAAAACATTCTTTTAAATAACGCTGTTAAAAGGTGACAGGATCAGTCAAATACATCTGTACGACAAGGTGCTGAAAAGTTATCAGCCTAATCTTCAGATATTATTTTCAGCACCCTCTCTTTCTTGTAATTGAAACATATATATATATATATATATATATATATATATATATATATATATATATATGTCAATGTATGTACGCGTAACTATACATACACATTTTAATGACTCGAAGAAAGACGATAACGGTGTTCGGACGCAAAGGGTTACTAGGGATGCAAGAGAATGAGAAGACTTTAGTGACGACAATAAAAGAGCAAGATGAAGACAAAATATGGCGATTGGGGTTTCATTTAAATTTTTAAAGATTCTAGGAGACAGGGAAGAAATAAAATTGGAAGGCAGTTCCACAGGCGAGGAGTGTGAGAAACGAAAAAATTGGAATAGATGATAAGGTTGCATGTATCTAGTTCAGAAGTAAAACGGTGATACCTAATTGTCAATCTAGTAGTACGCTTAAATTCATGCAGTCGAGGCACTAAGGTGAGGAAGCTAATCAGAGCAATGGCGATGAAAATATCTATAGAAAAGACAGAAGGGTATTGCGTCACTTTGGTGAAAAAGTGACGAAAGTCGAGATGCTAGCTTAGGATCTTCTTTCAATTTTATCAAGAATCTAGAAATATGACTGTGGGCTGAAAGGTTCATAGGCTGACTATCAAAGAGTGATGGTAATAAGAGCTGGACACTTGTATTTGAGGATACCCGTTTACTAGGGCGGTTAGCCAATCCCTATTGCAGGTACCATTGCTCAGGCATATTTGTGTTTGTTCAAAACTCACAGAGTCCATCTGTGGTTTATACTGCAACTGAGCAGATCTTAGTTACAGTTTCAGGGAGAGAGAGTGTTTATCCAGAATCAACAGTCAACAACCTGAACAACATAACACACTCAAACTTCAGTCACACTTCAAGAGTTCCGTCTACCCAATTTTACTCACAAGGTTTGGGTCAGCACGTGATATGGCTTTCAGGCACTTTCCAAGGGTGCTGGAGGCAGAATGTCTACTTCTTGACAAATCGACCATGGTGAGATTCGACCCGGGTCTTATGGTCGGAAAGCGCTCATATCAAAGAGTGATGGTAGAACTGTGAAATCTCACATGCATTAATTTCAACTCTTCCTATTAATAACTGCATTGTTTTCTTCCATGTAAACTGAGAGTACAAAGAAGAATTCAGAGTAGTAGTCACTAGTAGTGACTTTTCAGAGTAGTAGTCACTCGTAGTGACTTTTTAGAGTAGTAGACACTAGTAGTGACTTTTCAGAGTAGTAGTCACTAGTAGTGACTTTTCAGAGTAGTAGTCCCTCGTAGAGACTTTTTCAGAGTAGTAGTCACTCGTAGTGATTTTCAGAGTAGTAGTCACTAGTAGTGATTTTCAGAGTAGTAGTCCTCGTAGTGACTATTCAGAGTAGTAGACACTAGTAGTGACTTTTCAGAGTAGCAGTCCTCGTAGTGATTTTTTCAGAGTAGTAGTCACTCGTAGTGACTTTTCAGAGTAGTAGTAGTCACTTTTCAGAGTAGTAGTCCCAAGTAGTGACTTTTCAGAGTAGTAGTCCCTCGCAGTGACTTTTCAGAGTAGTAGTCCCTCGTAGTGACTTTTCAAAGTAGTAGTCACTAGTAGTGACTTTTCAGAGTAGTAGTCACTAGTAGTGACTTTTCAGAGTAGTAGTCACTTTTTCAGAGTAGTAGTCACTAGTAAGTGACTTTTCAGAGTAGTAGTCCCTCGTAGTGACTTTTCAGAGTAGTAGTCCCTCGTAGTGACTTTTTCAGAGTAGTAGTCACTCGTAGTGACATTTCAGAGTAGTAGTCATTAGTAGTGACATTTCAGGTAGTAGTCACTCGTTGTGATTTTTTCAGAGTAGTAGTCACTTGTAGTGACTTTTCAGAGTAGTAGTCACTTTCCAGAGTAGTAGTCACTAGTAGTGACTTTTCAGAGTAGTAGTCCCTCGTGGCGAATTCTCAGAGTAGTAGATCCTCGTGGTGACTTTTCAGAGTAGTAGTCACTTTTCAGAGTAGTAGTCACTAGTAGTGACTTTTCATAGTAGTAGTCTCTCGTAGTGACATTTCAGAGTAGTAGTCACTCGTAGTGAGTTTTCAGAGTAGTAGTCACTAGTAGTGACTTTTCAGAGTAGTAGTCATTCGTTGTGAATTTTCAGAGTAGTAGTCACTTTTCAGAGTAGTAGTCACTAGTAGTCACTTTTCAGAGTAGTAGTCCCTCGTAGCGACTTTTCAGAGTAGTAGTCACTCGTTGTGACTTTTCAGAGTAGCAGTCTCTCGTAGTGACTTTTCAGAGTAGTAGTCACTTTTCAGAGTAGTAGACACTTTTCAGAGTAGTAGTCACTAGTAGTGACTTTTCAGAGTAGTAGTCCCTCGTAGCGACTTTTCAGAGTAGTAGTCACTCGTTGTGACTTTTCAGAGTAGTAGACCCTCGTAGTGACTTTTCAGAGTAGTAGTCACTTTTCAGAGTAGTAGTCACTAGTAGTGACTTTTAAGAGTAGTAGTCCCGCGTAGCGACTTTTCAGAGTAGTAGTCACTAGTAGTGACTTTTCAGAGTAGTCCCTCGTAGTGACTTTTCAGAGTAGTAGTCACTCGTAGTGACTTTTCAGAGTAGTAGTCACTAGTAGTGACTTTTCAGAGTAGTAGTCAGTTTTCATAGTAGTAGTCACTCGTAGTGACTTTTCAGAGTAGTAGTCACTCGTTGTGACTTTTCAGAGTAGTAGTCACTCGTTGTGACTTTTCAGAGTAGTAGTCACTAGTAGTCAATTTTCAGAGTAGTAGTCACTTTTCAGAGTAGTAATCACTCGTTGTGACTTTTCAGAGTAGTAGTCACTCGTAGTCACTTTTCAGAGTAGTAGTCACTTTTCAGAGTAGAAGTCACTAGTAGTGACTTTTCAGAGTAGTAGTCACTAATAGTGACTTTTCATAGTAGTAGTCCCTCGTAGTGACTTTTCAGGTAGTAGTAGTCACTCGTAGTGACTTTCAGAGTAGTAGTCACTAGTAGTGACTTTTCAGAGTAGTAGTCACTCTTAGTGATTTTTTTCAGAGTAGTAGTCACTCGTAGTGAATTTTCAGAGTAGTAATCACTCGTAGTGACTTTTCAGAGTAGTAGTCACTTTTCAGAGTAGTAGTCCCTCGTAGTGACTTTTCAAAGTAGTAGTCACTAGTAGTGACTTTTTCAGAGTAGTAGTCCCTCGTAGTGACTTTTCAGAGTAGTAGTCCCTCGTAGCGACTTTTCAGAGTAGTAGTCACTCGTAGTGATTTTTCAGAGTAGTAGTCACTTTTCAGAGTAGTAGTCACAAGTAGTGACTTTTCAGAGTAGTAGTCCCTCGCAGTGACTTTTCAGAGTAGTAGTGCCTCGTAGTGACTTTTCAAAGTAGTAGTCACTAGTAGTGACTTTTCAGAGTAGTAGTCACTAGTAGTGACTTTTCAGAGTAGTAGTCACTCGTAGTGACATTTCAGAGTAGTAGTCATTAGTAGTGACATTTCAGAGTAGTAGTCACTCGTTGTGATTTTTCAGAGTAGTAGTCACTTGTAGTGACTTTTCAGAGTAGTAGTCACTTTTCAGAGTAGTAGTTACTAGTAGTGACTTTTCAGAGTAGTAGTCCCTCGTGGCGAATTCTCAGAGTAGTAGATCCTCGTGGTGACTTTTCAGAGTAGTAGTCACTTTTCAGAGTAGTAGTCACTAGTAGTGACTTTTCATAGTAGTAGTCTCTCGTAGTGACATTTCAGAGTAGTAGTCACTTGTAGTGAGTTTTCAGAGTAGTAGTCACTAGTAGTGACTTTTCAGAGTAGTAGTCATTCGTTGTGAATTTTCAGAGTAGTAGTGACTTTTCCGAGTAGTAGTCACTCGTAGTGACTTTTTAGAGTAGTAGACACTAGTAGTGACTTTTCAGAGTAGTAGTCACTAGTAGTGACTTTTCAGAGTAGTAGTCCCTCGTAGAGACTTTTCAGAGTAGTAGTCACTCGTAGTGATTTTCAGAGTAGTAGTCACTAGTAGTGATTTTCAGAGTAGTAGTCACTCGTAGTGACTATTCAGAGTAGTAGACACTAGTAGTGACTTTTCAGAGTAGCAGTCACTCGTAGTGATTTTTTCAGAGTAGTAGTCACTCGTAGTGACCTTTCAGAGTAGTAGTCACTTTTCAGAGTAGTAGTCACAAGTAGTGACTTTTCAGAGTAGTAGTCCCTCGCAGTGACTTTTCAGAGTAGTAGTCCCTCGTAGTGACTTTTCAAAGTAGTAGTCACTAGTAGTGACTTTTCAGAGTAGTAGTCACTAGTAGTGACTTTTCAGAGTAGTAGTCACTTTTCAGAGTAGTAGTCACTAGTAAGTGACTTTTCAGAGTAGTAGTCCCTCGTAGTGACTTTTCAGAGTAGTAGTCCCTCGTAGTGACTTTTCAGAGTAGTAGTCACTCGTAGTGACATTTCAGAGTAGTAGTCATTAGTAGTGACATTTCAGAGTAGTAGTCACTCGTTGTGATTTTTCAGAGTAGTAGTCACTTGTAGTGACTTTTCAGAGTAGTAGTCACTTTCCATTTTCAGTAGTAGTCACTAGTAGTGACTTTTCAGAGTAGTAGTCCCTCGTGGCGAATTCTCAGAGTAGTAGATCCTCGTGGTGACTTTTCAGAGTAGTAGTCACTTTTCAGAGTAGTAGTCACTA